CTGTGACTCATACTTGGAGAGGAGATGCCATTTTCTGAATTTTATTTTATTTGTGTAATGTTCAGTGCCATACGAAATTTTATGTAATGAATATGGCTGCTAGGCGAGGGTATATTAGTTCTACGCATGCGCATTAGCGGGGTGTCTGGTTCTCTGGTTGCGCAGCTATCATCCGCGGGGGGTGGGGGTGGGGGTGGTGGTGACTGACATTGTTTCGCTTCCGGTTGACAGGAGTATATTATCACGGGATAATTCTTCTCCTCTCTGAGGTCTCCTCTAGGGTTCTCCACACGTGTCAGGGGGGAATATCGTCTCGGCTCTATATCTCGTCGCCTTGAGGTACGGGTTCAGGAAGTCACTTAGTTCCAAATTATTGAGCCAAGTTCCGTCCAGAACCTCGCCTAAACGATGACAGACATAACACATCAATTCGCTCGTAATCAACTAATTAAGTCGATTAACAGATACGCAAAAACAAATTCATCACAATATACTGGTTGAGGCCTGGAATCTGTAATTGCATCAAAATGATATATACCTTACAAAACAACTTTAATTAGTCCAATTTATAGACTATTCATAGTTTAGTTTTCAAATAATTGCTGAAACATTTGTATGTATCGTCGTTGCTGTCAGCGGACAGCACTCTGTGTGGAGTTTACCATAAAAGCCAGTCACATACATATGTTGGTGGAAAAATAAAATGTGGTTTCCTATAAATTCTCCAGACTATATTTGAGTCGTTCATGCATGTGTGTTCATATTATACCTTTTATATTTTAAGTAAGACTTAAAGTGCGTGTGAAATGCCCACCCACACATTTCCCATTTTGGATTTTTGTTCCGCTGAAATAGACAGTTATTGATTTTTGGTTGAAAATGATTACTCGTTTCCGAGTAAATTTGAGATATGTAGCCACGCCCACCTATCTTGAAACAGTTGACTCGCGAATCTAGCCGAAGTAAATGGGCGACACCAAACGACAAAATACGAGAGGAAGCCATATACTTGCGCTGTACTTTTATAATACTGCGTCATTTAACGAAACTATTAACGATATATATATTTCGGTCGGCGCTTTTTTGAAACGTATGAGAATCTATGCATTTCCAAACGATCTAACGGTGTGACATCAGTAGACAAAAGCCGTAAATCAATAAGAAAAAGTTGAGATAGGTATTCTCCTTATACCGTCATACCGCAGATTATTACGCTGAATATCTGTCCTTATTTATAAAAGATCAGCTCGGGTTTAAAGACAATTGCTGAAAAATTAATCCTGGCACAGTACTAACACTTGTTAAAAAAACTCGATCCCGGACAAGCCCATGTTCACCGCGTCGGCTTTCAAAAAGAGAGAAACTTCGGACAAGTGTTTCAAATGTTTCGAGAATCTGAATAACGTTTTGTAAAGGCCATGTATTTTATGTTATGTAAGAGGTTTCAAGGACGTGACGCGAAAACCGATGCGTCGGCCAAACAAGAAATTGCGCAGCACGTTTCTGAATTGTTTTGTGATTGATGTTGACTTCACACTTCTGTGAATTTATCTCGCAGTTTGATTTGATCTGTAGGCTGTCAATATTTTGGGACCACATTTTTCTAATATGATGTCGTAATTATAACAATCACGATAACTCGAATCACACTCTGAATTTTCGACGGACGTTTCGACCGCGGAAGTTTCGGCCCGGCCGGGACATTTCGGCCCGGACGTTTCGGCCAAGAGTTTCGACCAGGACGGCCCGGGACGTTTCGGCCCCTGGCTCTCTTCTTTGAAATACACGATCTTCAGTATTTGAAATTATCGCTACAAGTTGCCGACATTAGTGAAGCCATATGGAAATATCTCCCAAACAGATCAAGCAGTTTTACCACATTTATTGTTAATATACGTTAATGGACATAAGAGGACTTTTGACATGGTCGAGTATCACAAAATATGCTAATATTTCATGAATTGCGTAATATGTAGGCTGTCAATATTTTGCGACCACATTTTTCTAATATGATGTCGTAATTATAACAGTCACGATAATTCGAATCACACTCTGAATTTTCGACGGACGTTTCGACCGCGGAAGTTTCGGCCCGGCCGGGACATTTCGGCCCCGGATGTTTCAGCCAAGAGTTTCGACCAGGACGGACCTTTCGGCCCCTGGCTCTCTTCTTTGTAATACACGATCTTCAGTATTTGAAATTATCACTACAAGTTGCCGACATTAGTGAAGCCATATGGAAATATCTCCCAAACAGATCAAGCAGTTTTACCACATTTATTGTTAATATACGCAATGGACATAAGAGGACTTTTGACATGGTCGAGTATCACAAAATATGCTAATATTTCATGAATTGCGTAATAAGTAAGCTGTCAATATTTTGCGACCACATTTTTCTAATATGATGTCGTAATTATAACAGTCACGATAACTCGAATCACACTCAGCCATATGGAAATTTCTCCCAAACAGATCAAGCAGTTTTACCACATTTATTGTTAATATACGCAATGGACATAAGAGGACACAATGATTTTCTTTCATTGAGAAATTCACATCTATCGTTAAGTCACTACTATTTATGTCAATAGTGTCTGTTCCAAAATAGTGCTCCTGATGTATTAATGCACAAATCAAGCTGTCAATATTAATGTATTTGTATACGATAATATAAAACCACGACTTTTAAAATTGTTATCAATCTATCTTGACATTTTTAAATAAAAAAATAAGTTGGCTGTACGTTTATTGAAAAAAACAAAACAATCATACAGATTCGTCAATGTATTACAAACCAACCGGAAACAGTAAGAAGATTATATTATGTAAATCATTATACTATAACTAGATTTTTTTTTATATAAAATACATAGTGCCTTTTGATTAAAAAAACACACACAAAAAATGTGTGTAATTTGTGTTATTTGCGTTTAGTACGTCTAGGAAATGTATAATATATACTATTTTGTCAGCCAATATATGTTTATGAGTGGTAACGCATAATTATAATATTACTTTTGCGTCTAATATAATAAACGAATATATCGTGCAGTTTGTGTAAACACTAATGAGGATACTAATGCGATGCACTGTTTCAATACCCATTTATATTTTCGCGAACGTATTGTATCATTCGTTCTATAACAGCTTTGAAAACAATATGATTCAACTTCCTTGGAAACTGATTCTATTCAGTGTACCCGTGAAAGCATTCATACGCTGTACGCTATTCGAGTAAAAAATTGTGTACTATTCATAGGAAACACAAAGCTCTTCCCGTTGTGAATGAGTATTAAAACATCCGGACTCTGATGAACGACAATACAGCAATACTCGTTGTACCAAAAAATATAATAAGGGAAATATAAATAGCAGACGGTCAATATATTTAATTTGCACTTTCAAATATATAACTATTGAAGTATATTATAAACAATACCATGCAAAAAAATAAATGAGCTAAACCTTTGCACAAAATCAGGCTTCATACTGTCTCTGAACCTAACTTTTTTATTGCAATGTGAAAATAATATCTTAAAACACAATCATTATTCCCAAGTACAATGACCAAGAATAAGACAGACAACACACAGGATATAAAATTAATAATTGACAAAAATAAACCAATTGGAAAGACTGTACATAATCAAATGAGTAAAAGAACGATATATGGACCTTGTGATATACATGGTCAGGTTACAGATTCTAATTTCGGGTGTTTCAAAATCTTTTCTGCTCAAGGCAGATAAAGAATCCTATTCATCCCGCATATCTTGGCAGTTCAGTGTAAAATGCAGTGTTACAGTAATATTTGTTGATAAATATGTAATAATAATCCCTGCAATCTGATTGATTGATTGATCCATGCAAGCAGCTCGAACTTTTGACATGGTCAAGTATCACAAAATATGCTAATATTTCATGAATTGCATTAATTATAATATTTACATTAAGCCGCTTATATTTGCGACATCAATTCAGACTCTCCCAACCATAACATCTTCGACTTTAGATTTGCTTATAATCGATAAAAATGGATGGCTTAAAACTTACTTATATCTTGTACTAGCGAATGAGTGAATAGACTGTAATGACGCTCATTTATGCAAATGGGGCAGGTTAATCTAGAACACGCACTCCCAAACCTCACTCACTCACTACTGTTGTTTCTGAATCATTAGAAGCTGTAATAGTTGGACCGGATATCAAATTTGTCACACTACAATATCAGATATATTGAACTCATGTAAGTAATATTATTGATAGTAATACATCGTATATAGACGGGTCACTCATACGATATTCCCTATACACTACACTGGTAATGACCATTACTGCTCTGTACACACAAAATACGTATATAACTAATTAAACGAGAAACGTCTAATGCAATAACATTAAAAGCAAGTGATACATAACAAAAACACACAGAAATGTGATAAATAAATAGACAAACCAATTATTTGTATCAAATTAATTACTGGAAACTCACACATAATGGTGATGGAGTACTGACATATTTCGTATGACTCACAGACAGTGCAATGTTTGCAATAAAAGTAGAAACAAAGAAATACTAAAACACATTAAAAGCTCAAAATAACAGATTTATTTTATTAACAGATTCAATTTATCTTTTTTAATTAGTTTTACATATCAGGCCACATAAGAGATAATAAAAGCAGCATTCACAGTAAGTTAAATATGTAAATTCTACATATATAATCACTACTAAGTTTTTAAAGACAAAACACTTTATCTATTTGGTTGGAAATTTAGCGGTGTTCTAAAAATGTAAATTGAGATGTATATTTTAAGAAATCGAAAATTCTGATACATTTTGTTCAGTCATGAAATAGCAGAATATGGTAATTACATTTATTTGATTAATTATTATTCCATTCCATATATCCTGCCTGTTATATGTGATACTGTCCATGATATATTTTTGATATCCCAAAGAGGATTGGTAATTCTAAATAATGTTTTTAAGCTGATTAAATAGTTCTAAAATATTGGATGTACTGATGTGGAATAAGCTCTTCTTTTGCTAACAATTGAGAAAAAAGTTCACACTGATTAGATGAAAGGGGTTCAAACTGAAAACTTTTACACTGACTGTTAGAAAGACATTCGTGAGCGCACTGAACTGCCGTACTCGCCTGAAGACTCGTAAGTGGGACGACACCCGTAATCATCATGTCTTCTGCCTCCATATAGAAAAGACCATACCGATAGTACACATCTCGTTCAATGACAGGGTCTGCACCTATAATTTCAATTAAAGTGTACACGTTCAGAGAAGGTCGGTGATAATATATGTATAATGAATCGACATATAACATGTCAGCAGTTTGGGTTGTAATGTTCTTCATTGGTGGAAAAATTGAACCAAATATGGTATGCATCACGAGTTGTATATTTGATGATGTCATTGACATCCTTTGCTTGAAAGGGTGTAATGTAATATTTTCTACTTTCATCTTAGGACAATATACAAACTAATACACCATACCTGATGTGCATGTTAGTGTTCTATCATTATATGTCCACGGAGTGTCATCGCAATTGCAGATTCCAGAAATACATTGTCCGTGTATGCACGTTGAATCATGTATACATTCTACAAGCGAAATATTTACACTTTATTAGTCACACAGATAAAGGAAACTTTATTGAATGTAGCATCAATCGTTTACATGCAATTGAGTTTTGAAGCAAAGGGCACTGTAAGTTGCCTGTGTTTGTCATGACTTTGCGTTTGGAATGCTAGTTTTAAACATGGCACGGAAAAAACAACAACGACATAACAGAACATAACACCATGACAGAGCTTAGGCTAACAGGAGAGTCCAACGTATGCACGGCAAGGCGTTTTCTCTATTTGATCCCAAAATACATAACATGAACAGGGCATACATATAGCCCTCTCAAATATAAAGTACTTAAGGAGAACCAGCCTAGGCTACGACCAAATATTGCTCATGGAGGAGATAATAATTTTCATCAAACTATTATGGTTTGCTAATTATAATATGGCACGGCGCAAACATATTGATAAATACTCAGGTGTTTACTGTACATACCTGTGCATTTGTTTGCTATACCATTGCTCCAATCAGCATCACACATACATTGGTGTTGTATACACATACCATGAATGCATTCAGCGTCTGTATTGCATTCTGTAGTATCATATAAAACATATTAAACAATAAAATCGATGATGTCATTGGTAAAAATAGTAATATTTAGTAATTAACATAATAGTGAACTTCCTATTTTGTAAACTCATGTTTATTTATTAATATTGCTGATAGTGAGTTTTGCTCTTTAAACTGCATATCTTTTAAAATTTTAAAATAAAATTCATCGCCTTCTGGATGATCTCTCAGCTCCTGGCATTGTTTTATTTAGTCGTTACGTCGTGAAAACATTCAGAAAAAACAACAACATGGATATATGAGATAGTGCATGTGTGACTGCTCTTCACATTGGTTTGTGTACACGTTTCTCAGTACATTCACCACCACCCCACACAACAATGTACTATGTGAATCTTTGTGCTTAGGTAAGTATATAAATAACTGACACTGAGATAATAAACATATTGCAAAGAAATTACATCTCAGAGACTTAGAGGATGAACCAGTGTTCATATCATAATATTGCCGATAGTTGATGGTTCTTCTTGCGTGTTTATATGTTCGTAATATGCCTGTAATGTATATTGTATTTAATTTCAGAAATGCCTATACCCCGTACAACTAATCTATTTCGATATATGCTTTCAACATAATAAAATAATTGGAATATATAAAAGTAAAATTAGGTGAATGAATTATTTATTAAATTGTGAATGTTCAAAGAATGATGATTATAATATGTTTACCGGATATACACGTCAGTGTTGTTGAGTTGTAACTCCAACCAGTGTTGTCACAAATACAGGTTCCAGACACACACTGCCCATGCACACACGATATATCGCTGATACATTCTAAGGACAATAATGTATTATACATTAGCAATTATCATAGACTTCTGGCCTTGTGTATAGCATATACATCTACTATATAGTTTAGGAGTATAATTATTTCTAGTGTTTGCATCCAACACTTTAAATATTAGGACAAAGATTATTATTATTATTCTTATATTTCTCATAATGGCCATAATTGTTCCAAAATAATTGCTAAGGCTAAAAAGATATTAAAAGACCGTCTAAATTGGAGACAAATAGTTCAATTCAATTGAATATACTACATAACAAGGACATATTCGTAGAAGTTACCAGCATCGCTACTAGTGGTTCAGCGCGTTCTATGTATCTGCCTTATGCCAATACTCGATCAAGTGATTGCACACGAATATATTAGGCTTCAAATATAAACGTTAGAGGCGAACGGTATTGATTGTTTTCCATTTCCCGTGCCCATTTAACGGCTCTGTGACAACAGACAGCCCCCGAGTGTATCGTACATGGTATTATTATAACTATTTCACGGTAACGCCATAAGTTACAGCGTGCCTTAGTTTTGCCGTATTGCAATCTACATCCTACCTTATTAGGAAATGCTAATTTCAAATAAAGAACGATTATGCGAGTAATCAACTTCTAATAATAAAACAAACATGGCAGCCCCCCCCCCCCGTGAGATGTTGACCGGACCCTAACAACAGTTCGCTAAATCTGTTCTAAACTTTGGGGATTTTGGCATTCCCCTGATGCTCAGATAAGCTCATATCACGAACAGTTGCAGTACATTTGTTAATCGAAATGTAAGCGGGGGGGGGGGAGACAACTCGAAAAACTCTATGGGAGTACTTATTTAGGAGTCTCTATTCGCAAACAGTGCCGAGCAATTTTTCTGTGTTGCTAGCAATTTGATAAAGATAATTAATTTGATAAAGATAACATATTTACTCACTCGTGCATTTACCACTTGATTCTTTACTCCATACAGGGTCGCATACACACTCTTCTGTGACACATATACCATTAGCACAGTCGCTATCTACTGCACAGTCTGTATGCAAATTACAGTAAGAACATTTGAATATGTAATATAAAACGTAAGTAGGGCTGTGACAATTATATCTATACGGGAAACTTAAACCAAATAGACCAGGTATTAATAACCTGTATAATTTTGTTGTTGTATACTAGTAATAAATATTATTATACATCTATCACCGTAACGCCATTAGTTACAGCGTGCCGTAATTTTTTGGTATTTTACTTGATATTTTCATCTTACCATCTTAGGAAATGCGAATTCCAAATATGGAATGATTACGCGCGTAAGCGTCCTCTAATAATAAAAAAACAAACATGGGTTTGACCGGACTCACAGAAAGGAGTTCGCCGATTCTGCTCTAAACTTTTTGGATTTCGGCATACCCATGATGTATCCTCGGAAGGAAAAGATGTATAATAATAAGGTTATTACGAGGATACCTCAAATATGCACGAAGACAGTACAGCGGAAGTATCGACCGACGCGCAGCGGAGGTCGATGCGACGGCGTATTGTCTGAGTGCATACTTTGGGATATCCTCGTAATAACCTCATAGTATTCTACATTCACTGCGGTAATATATTGCAAGTGACGAATTATACACTAGATTATTGATCAATTAACTGTTCTTACTGCAGTAATGAGCACCATCTGTAATAGGCGTTCCAGGACCGACGACTAAGCTGTTCGACGACCATGAGAAAATATCACCATTACCGTTGATGCCACATAAAGCTATTTTCTCAATGTCTGCTGATGTCAGAACACTGTTCCATACGTTAAACGATGACATTTCTCCTTCAAATGCTTTTCCAGTGTCGAAATCTTCACCAAATTGTTTTTGTATTTGTCCTAGGATAAAACTCCCTCCTCCAGAGATCGGTAGTGTTGACGATGAGATAATTCTTGTTAAACCGGTGTTAGTATCAGTGAGCAGAATGCCATCTTTATAAATCTGCGAATCGCCATTAACGGGACTGGAAACGAGACAGAAATGAAACCATGTATATTCTGGGAATGACATTTTAGCCGCAGTATGTTCGCCCTTTAGTTCCAAGTCTAAATCATTGAGCGTGTTTATCCTGACTTGCAGCTCGCGTAATTCTTCTGGTGTGGCATACGAAAATAGTCCAAAATCGTGTGTTTCCATGTATTTGGCCCATAAACACACGGTCAACTCGGTCAGAGAAGGCATCGAAATACTGGCTGATAAGTCGCCATAAGTTGATACATCGAAGACAATTCGTTTGTCCAAAACGCTGTAAGCCAAACCTGCAATATATAGCATAATGGTGAAAGAGAAGTATTGACCATTTTATGTGCATATAATTATGTTAAAAAGTAACCCGAGAAACGCATTAAACTGTCTAGTACGGTAAACGATCATATAGGTATGGCATAGGTAACAAGATTTAATGGGCAGAATGGCATGCATAAACCGTTAGATCTTGTGGGGATCACAGCAACACTGACACGCACAGTATTTCAAAATGTCACATAGTACGATAATAGACTAAAAATAAATAAAACTGCTAACACATAATTTCAGGTTTCTTCAAACAATTTGTATATTTTATGAAACATATGTATATGCCATATATTTAATTTTAAAACAATAAAATCCATTTCATATGTAATTACTCACCACACCCCTCCATCGTCTCCAAGGCCACTTCATTGTGGACATCGGCCATGTGGTCAGTCCAAGAGAAAATATTACCATTACCATAATGACGGCACATTACTAGCATCTCAACCATATTATCACTAATGAGATAATCATATATATGGACGCCCGTCATCGTGCCTGCAAACGCCTGATTGGTGTCAAAACCGCCACCCAGGGAGTCTTGATCCTGACCAGTAACAAATACTCCGCCACCCAAGATTAATTCGTCTTTCCTGAGATTATCGTCCGAATCTGCCAGTAGGCCATCCTCGTATATGCGCCACTTACCGCCATTCGATTCCCAGGTAACGCAAATATGGTGCCAGTTAGCATCAATATTGAGATTCACAGCGAATCCTGTGTTCCCCCTCATCTGAAGTTGGCCTGTACCACCCGAAGGTTGTATCCAGACATCAAACTCACTTGTATCAATAGATGATGCGTATGAAATGACAGGGTGATCATTGCTACACGTTGTTATGGCCCAATAGCACACAGAAACTTCGACGAGATTGGGAATTGAATTGGGACCTGAAACATCGATGTACGTACTCTGCGTGGCGACTATTTGCTTGTCTTTGAGACTTGTTTGGTACGCAGTCACTAGAAGAAAAAAATGTCAGACCAGTTTGTTTTTATAATATTTATAATAATCTGCCTCTAAACATAAACGCGGTAGTGGCATAACATTTACAATGCAATATCATCCCATATACAGATATGTAGTGTTTAAACTTTCTGTGTATAATTGTCCATTTACTTGCGAAGATATTGTGACTCAATTCTATAACATTTACCTTCAATATAAATAGCTCTCTCAATAAAAAGACCTTCCCCCTGGATTATTTTTCCATGATTTACTCATTCTCCCCTCATGTATGGCTAATATACAATTGACGGTATACCATGTATTTAAGCGAAAATCCTTCCGATACATACTTTTTTGATGGAAGTAATGTGACTAAAATACGGTGCAAGTTTGAAAGCGATCAAGGCAAGTCGGTTTGAGATTAAATTCGAAATTAACGAATTTGAATTAGGACGTTGACAAAAAAACTTTGATTATGTTCCAACGCAATACGCAAGAATTCACTTGACACATAGCATGCTATCTGGCAACAATCAGGTAAGAGGCACTAGTGAAATGAACATAGGAGCAGCATAGGTACATGCAATTTTAATAGTGCGCCTAAGCGCGTATCAAAATGTGTCAGCTGTTTGCGTGTTTTTCTGTTCTAGTGGATCCGAAAGCAAAAACACATAAAAAAAAATTACTAACCTCTGTGCACAAATAAAAGACACAAACATAACATGCACATCTTCATGATGCAACGGGGCAGTTGTTACAATACTCTTCCCTCAGCTGTTTGCTCGTTCGATGCGAGTTTGACTATTCCTTGCCAGTTTGTTTCATGAATAACGGAACTCTTGCTTTCAGAAAATTATAATGATCGTTTTTGTATTTAAATAAAACAATCAATATGCTTGCAATAACTGTATCTAATAATAATAATAATATGTAAAGGTTCAACCATTATTATGAATAGGGGTGCTTTCAATCACGTACACGATATTTGGGATATTAAAATCTAGTTAATTCTGTAGACAAATGTATCAAATCAAGCTTCACTACTTTTAATGCCTCATTTTTCAATATTTCTTTTTTAATATTTCATTAAATAAAATGTTTAAAAATAAAAAAAAATATGTCTCATCCTCGTAGATAACAAATATTTCTGCTTGTTCAATGTTCATGCATCCTCTCTGTGTGTGAATGAAGCTAATATAATCTCATTACCATGGAAACTGTGAATAGAATTGCATTCTTCTACATCCTTTGAAATTCTGAATGCTTGTCTTCTGTGCAACATCGAATGCTCTCCGTTCAACTATGTCATTTGAATATTTTCCGGAAAAATGTCTACTCTGAGCATGCAATACAATTATGACAAATGCAATAAAAAGTGCATTGTAATCTAACTCACGTAACACAACAAAACGTATTCTATCGATCTTAATGCTGGAGACCGAAAACAGCGTATAACGTGTCTAAACACACTGCCTTAGCTATTAAGCTCGCAAATAAAGCTTTTACAATTATTGCTGTTTAAAAGACTTTAATGCCAATGCGATTTTGTGTCCAGAAAAGCTTTGAATATTAGTATCTCCCATTGCAGTCTATGCATAACTACTTACACTGTCTGGAGTCCGACTACCAAACGAGCATGATATGGTTTACAATTTCCGTTATCTAAATATATACAAGTGTAAAAGTAATTTGTTATTGTCTGATGGTTGAGGTAAATTATTATTATTTTTATTATTTATTCACTGACAGTGTGAGTTATTTTCGAAGCAGTAGCATAATGTGTCGACTCCACACGTTGCGAATGTGTTCTGTCTTGACCCGCGATTGAAGTACCATCTGCACCCATGTTGTCCGACGATAACTAATACTAAAAATATTGATAAGAATGACAATATTTCTGCCGTGTTAGAACCTCACCAATGCGTTCAGACGTCACACCTAGTTAGACTAAATTAACATATGATTCGACAGCGTAGAAGTAGTATAGTACTGTTGTTATTTATCTGTCGTTTTGACACTTGGCATTGGTCATGTAATGAAAAGGCCGAGTGGTATTCTCAGCGTTATTAACTGTAAAATATACTCGCCTTTGGTTCGTGGTTAATTACTAGCCTATGATTCAATCGTATCAACCAGCGTTATGAACAAGTGATATCAAGCGATAACATAATATTACCAATGCATTTTGGAGTGCCAAATTTAAATCATCTCATGGTTGTATAACTTGGCGTCTAAAATATTATACTTTCACTGATTATTTTAATCTATTGTCACCGTAATTTGTATTTGTGCTCATCGACGTATTTTGTGTGAATCTCCCGACAATGGTTATTTGAAAAACGAGTTTCTAAGTTACATAGAATCTGCAATTAGCACGTACAAATGAAATAGGCTTGGATATAAAAATGACCCAATTATAGAAACGGAAAACCTTGTCTGTGTCCTGAAAACCATAAGTCTGCATGGCCGAATGGTCTTATTGGAGAATTTGTTTAAATCCAGTCTTCAGGTTTCTTTGTATTTAAGCTTAATAATTAATACAATTTGTAACAAATACCATTGAAGTGGACAAACCAAAGATAATCCCGGCAACTATCGAGCGATCTCACATACCAGGATTTTTTGAAAGCTGTTCACGTCGATATTAAATGTACGTTCAACATTTTTGTCAAATTCCTTCCGAAAACTTTATGAAGCCCACGCTGGCACCAGACACGGAGATTAAATGGTTGGCAATATCTAAATCCTCCAATCTATAGTTCGATAGTATATTACGATACTGACATGGCTGCTAGAAGAGAATTGGATGTTACACTGACAATGTCTCTCAGACTGGTGCCTTCGGGTATCTTAAGGTAGAGATGCAGGTTGGGAGACTATATTTCTAATTGCCTCTAATTACTGTAATTACATGAGTAAAATATACTTTTTACCAATCAAGTTATATATCATTTGAAAGAGTTTTATTTAAACTTTTGAGTTTTATGGATTACAATAATGTACTATGATACCATATTAACTGTGTTGATTTTGGGTTAAAATCATGCATTTTAGGTGAAAGTGCACTTAAAACTATTTAACTTTTGAATGCATACCCTGATTTTAATTTAAGAACACTTATTTAAAACTTCTGTTTACTAGGAACATAATGGCTTATTTGTTAGTGTTTCCATTGAAAGGTTTTTACACGGTGCTCTTTGAAACATTCACATTTTATAAATCGTTCACAGTTAACAGAGCCGCTAATTGGCAGCTCTATTGTTTCTGTTCCAGTGAAGACAGTGAAACCATACGAAGCCATTTACTTAGGA